CAAAAGTGAATGCAGTTTTCAATATAGTTTGTCTTTCTCCTTGTTTTCAAATGTTTTTATTTGCCTCTGAATTTTGCTGGCACTGAGGTTAAGAGAAGCCAAACAGAAGGAGGGCAAGTCTGAAAGTTTTTCCTAGGAGATTTTTACTAATAGGTTTTTAAAATCAACATTCATATTTGTCTGGTCTTCAAGTAAGCCATCTTCAAATTATGCTGTAATATGAAATCTAGCATGCATTTGGACAGTACTTTTGAGGTTTATTCATCATTGCTTTTGTAAAGGAAAAAAAATTATCAGACAATCTTCTATTCCCACGTATCTCTTAAAAATAACCAAAGAAGAAATATACCTTTCTAATGACAAGCTCTGGATGCTTTTTGGAAAGCTTCTTTTTATTCAGTGTTTTGAGGACAATGTTGCAAATCTCTCAAAGCTGATAGAGTTGCATCTGGCCCACTTTCTACCTCTCTGTGCTAATTATCTTCGACAATGCAAGTCATAAAATTAGCATCCTGTGATATCCAGCATTATTACTGCAATTCAATAGCTGTATTCAAGGAAATCTCAGGACAAAATGAGAATCGTTAAACTGAACATGTTAGAATATTTCATTCATAAGTAATGATTCAAAGAAAAAGGAAGAAACCTTATGAAATTTGAGCCTCCTTTGCAACATTTATTAACTTTAATATGAAAAAAATGTTATAGAGGATGATAGTTATTGCTATAATATAAAATTTTGTAAGGCAGATTCTGGACACATTAAAGCATACTGCCTCCCCATGAAGCTGAACACATCACAGCTCAGAATGAGGTTTTTAGAGAGATTTCAAATAATCTTAAAATATCTTCACAAGAGGTGCTTCTTAATGCAGCGGGGCATGATGCCAGCAAAAAGACTCAAAAGCCAAGACAGGACTCCAGTGGCATAGAAGATCACCACCCTGTTCCTAGAGGGCAGGATGCAACAAGCCAGAGTGAAGGAAACACTATTCCAGTAGTCCCCAGCTCAGGCAACGCCTTTTCTAAATACATTTCTGAGGTCTAATTAACTATCAGCAGATGTGGGCATGGTCACTTAAAGTTTTTTTAAAGCCTCTTCTCTGCAAATCCCTCTCGTCAATTGCATTGAGTCAGCTGGAAAACTCTGCTACTTCTGAAGGCAAAAATGAATAAATTATTTTATTGCCAAGTTATAAGCTAATGAGTATATTATCTCTAAAAAACAAACAGCGTTCCTGAGGAAAACGGGAAAGATTTTGATCTGACAGACAGGACTTAAAACTACAGTAAAACAGCTGAAATCAGTGCAGTCACTCTATTTACACCAATGTGACTGATACCCAAATGAGATCCAAATGAACAACACTGATATTTGGTTCGGGTTTTTCAATAAATCTTATGTTCTCATTATACAACACACAGGCAGTCACTGAAATTTATTTTTTTTGAACCTTCAATGAAATTTTAATACTAATGTACCTAACAGCATACATGAAACATTCCAGTGTTATACTTACCAGAATTCAACCAGAAAAGATGGTATGGTAAACGCACACATTAAGCCATGCAAATGGCTTTATTAAAATAAAGGATCAAAATTTTGGGACCTGTTAAATCTATTTTCTGCTTTTAAATGCTACACACTGGCATTTTCACAGTTTCCTAACTTGAAATACTTATTTTTAAAAAGGGAAACCACAAAGACATTAATTGTATTCTCCTGAAATATAATTGGGAACTTGACTGCACCGAGGTTTAGAGAAAGTCATACATAATTTGCTTGACATACCCTGGAGTGCATGAAATAAAATACTATAGCTTATATTGTTCAAGATAAACGCACAGACACTGGCCATACACTTGAATATATGGTTTCTAAATTAGCCTTCTTTGGATTTTTAAAAAGCAACTCGTTCTTCCACTGCTCTTTTCTGAAACAGAGATCTATTGAAATTAAGGATGAATTCAGGTATTCATTACTAGATTCAGAATTTGTCCCACAGCAAGGATTTATACCAGTTTACCTGTATATTGCTTCTTCTCAGAAGCAGGAAATTTTGGTGCTCTTCTCTAGTGCCAATCATCATATCTGCTTTTATTTTAAACGACTATACTATGAGAATCCAATCATATAGTGCAAGAGACTCAAAATAAAAAATGTGTTCATTCGCACTCTGCCTGATCTCTGTTCTCACTTTTTCTTTCTAGCCACTTCCCATAGTGCGATGTTTCCTGCCTGTGAAATCCATGGCTGTGGCATTACAGAAAAAATATCTTACATCGAGTTAAGAAGTTGCCATCCCCGGCAAAAGCCTGAGAGTAAACATACCACTTCTAATTAGGATTCTGACAGGTCTCTGTGAGAAGCAGAGTCTGGAGCCAGATGCAAGCACAAAGCAAGCTTTTGCCCCCTCAGGTAACATTACAGGGAAACCCAGAGTAACCCACTTATCTTACAAGCAGCAACACTAGCAAGCTAAAGAGTTACTAACAAAAACACAGAGTGACGCTAAACATAAAGGATTAGTTTCGGCAATGCTAGAAGGGAGGAAAAAAATTGAATATAGAATATTGTAAAAGCAAAAGTAAATTGTAAAATAAATATTTCAGGATTTAAACTAATAACAGAAAAGCCCATAAATCATCTTTACAATCGCCCCCTTTCCTACCACACATCCATCCTCTCCAAATGGATGCCTATTACCAGGTCTTCAGCATACATTATGGGATAAAGAGAACTGTAGGAATCTAATTTACTACCGCCGGGATGAGATGCCAGAGAAAGGGCTAGGGGAGTAGCAGAAAATCCTGGAGAGAGCTGAATTTTTCTAGGAGACTAAGTATCACTCTGTACAGTGTGATTTTGTATAGAATGCCATGAAACACCAAGCAAGGACAGTCAAACCAAAGGTTACCCCCCTCTCAATTTCTGTCCTCCGGTTTGGAGCGAGGAACCTAAGGATTTAAGGCACTGGAGGGTAAGAAAGGCAAGCCTGAATGAAAGGCACAGCCAACTATAAAAACATGATGGTGTACAGTACCAATACTGATACTAACACAAAATGTGGCTGAACAGGTCTTCCTGAAAGATTACGTGGTTCTTGTGATTGCTTATCTATTTCAGGTAAGAAATAATGAAAAAGAGTAATTTTGATAAGCCCATAGAGCACAGTGCAAAGTGTATTGGTTAGTGAGCTCGTCACAGTGATGACAGGCTCTCAGAAACATTGATGTTTCTGACATTGCTCTGCAATGCACCCACTGGAATAACTGCCTGTGAATTATAGAAAATCAGACTCAAAATCTAGAAACCTCTTTTTTCAGGCAGTTTATTTTTCTTCTATAGCTGCCTTCTGGTCAATTCCTCAGTGTCCAGAGGCCTCGGGCCCTGCAGCACCAACAGCCATTCAGATTTACTGAGCTCCTGGCATCACGTTAACTGTACCTGTCTGAAAGATGCAGGAATGAATTTCTACAAACACAAGTCCAAGCCCAAGCACACCAATCAAATTTGTATTTCAATTTTTTTTTTTCCTAGCAAACTGCCATGGATTGCATGAGGGAGCGGGCAAAAATTAAGGACGGCAGGAGTGCATCAGTAAAACCATGTTAAATGAGTGAACTACATGCTGAAGCAAATAAAAAGTCTTCCTCAGTTCACAAGATCTTTCTGAATCACATATATATGTGTGTGTACATCTGCAGATGCATGTTGATTTTGCTTTTGTTTTGTTTGTTGTTTGTGGTGTTTCTTTTTACTTTGCTCATAGTTTACTGTTTCATGTGATTTTTCATTTACAATCACATTGCTACATCATAAATTGTGCCATAAACTAAGAATAACAACTCCTAAATCCTGCATGGAATTTGCCCACACTGTTCCATGAGTAGGTGTTTCAAGAAAAGTTTGGCCAGCCTTTGGCAACTCTAAACATAGTTTTATTCACTGGTACTGGAATTAGATTTGTCATAAGCCTACATCATGTTGTTGGGGTTTGTGTGTACTTTAAAGAGTCAGGATTTTACTTTTTACTTCATTAATAGCCAGTAGAGGATGAGGTCATGAAGTGCATAGTCTGGAGTGGGGAACTTATTTACTTGTTTACCATGAAGTTTCTTTTCTATACAAATCTGAGATACATTTATAATCAGCAGTGAGTCACAGGATCTAACTACAGGGATCACATAACAGCTCTAATGATGGCAAGAATAAGAGAAGCCCTTTGTTCAACATTTTCCTCTAAGAGGATAAATTCAGATTTGCCCTGTATTTTAGGAGTTCAGAATTAAACAACCAGCAGAGCAAAATTTTTCTTTTAAGTTCAGCATCTTTTGCTTATTAAAATTTCATCGCTAAAGTTGCCAGAAAATAAGACTTGTAAATAATGCCCAGCATGGCTTCAGTGACATACACCTAGGGCAAGCACTGAGCCATTAGACATGGGCAGTCCAGTCCGTCAGATCATGGAGAGGAAAATCTGAGTACGTGCAGTAGAAAAGCAGCAAGGTAAACGCTGCCAATGAGGAGAGAAGAAGAGAGAACTGGAAATCTAAAGGAGATGTCTAAGAAATACAGAAAGACGTTTTATACAAAAGAGAAAGTGAGTACGTACATGCAACCGCAACCATACAACTGAAACAGGAAGAGCACAGAAAGCATACAATCTTGAAAGCACTCTAAAGTTCTATGAGTGAAACTTCTTAGGTCTCTAATCTATTGTTACACTCAAAATTCTGCTTACCAGACACCTTAAACATATAGAAACAGCATACTATCTTTGCACATTATCTTTTTAACAAACCGCATTTTGGTGTATTTGAAGACAGCCCAGCAAGACTGTGGGATGAAGAACAGAGAAAATACACTAACAACATTTGAAACACCACCAGGACAAACAGGAGCCAGAATTCAAGGATACTCCTGTATCATCCAATCTTTAGGGGGCGGGAGGGAGTGGGGGGGTGGGGAGGTGGGGGGAAGAAGCCAAACCTCTTACCATTATTACTGTTATCATCAACTAAAATAATCTCTTTGAGCAGGTGAGCAGGAGTCCGGTCAATGGCTGAATGAATGGAGCGCAGAATCACTGAGAGAGCTTCATTAACAAATATGAATACAATGCTGACCTCAGGAAGCCGGTCAGGAAATGTAAGGTTTCTGCACCTGAAGAAAAAAGTAAAAAAAAAAAAAAAAAAAAAAGATGTAAACAGTTGCAAGTCACACGAACTGTTTCAGAGAAATCTATCCCCAGCCAGACAAGAATGACAAGAGAGCTTTTGTAGGCATGGATCAGAAGGTCCCCATACCTGTTCAGAGCACATATAGGCAAGAACCAGATGAGTTACTATCTAAAAAACAGGAATCCCTGAAAACAATATCCTGAATCTGCCTGCGCAACCAAGGCCTAGAGTGAGCTCGCTTTTCCACCCAAGGCCCAAATCACTGAAAATTAGTTTGCAAACCAAATGTAAACTCTTGTTTAAATGCAGCTTCCAACAGCAGTTGTTCACAATGTCTTTCTGGACAGTGCAGACAGGAATACACAGAGTTAACCCCTTACTTTAGAAAGCATTTTCTTAATAGCTACATTAATGATTTTTGCTACAGAATCTACCACCTATCTCATTCCAAATCAAGGGCTTCTTTCTCAACTCGGCAACAACACAGTAAAAGATCCAGCTGCAAAGAACATCCTGCTACAAAAGCTAAGAGACAGCGTAGTCAGAAAAACAAGTAAAAGGATGGAAAACTTATCTGAAAGCTCAGTCGAGGTTTAATCAGAATGAGGAATACTTTTGTAACCTGATGGATTTTCCTGTGATTTTTAAAAATTTTTAGACACATTACAATTTGCTTATGCAAACAGCAGTATAGAAGTGCCGCTCACAACTTCAAAGTTCCTTAATGTTTTACTGTTTTTTCTCTCCTTCATTTAAGAAAGGATTCACATTTTGTAATTTTATAAAGAATAGAAAGCCCTTTTACCAATTTCTATCTTTAAAACTGCCAGCGAAATATTTGCTTTTTTAAATAAAGCCACAAGTTAATAAAGCAAAAGTAATTCTTTTTCTCCAAAACTTTTAGTATTTTAATGCAATGTTTCTGAACAACAGTTAACTCCACCTTTTTCTCAGATCTGAAACTATTTACTAGCATGAAATTAGGCCACAGGCTTACCCAGGCACCTCTTCTAGATAGGCTCTGTAGATGGCAATGATTGATGCTAATTCTCTTCTCTGCCTCCTGACAACTTGATGTAACAACACTGAAGTGGCTATCTCCTCTCAAGATGTCTAGAGTCACTATATCCAGGAACTCCCTTAAAGCTGTGGAAAGCATGATGATACTAAGATACTAGATACAAGATACTAACAGCTGATGTTAAAGAAATATACATACAGAAACATACAAAAAGCATGGATGGATTCAGAATTTTTAAATCATGCTTGGACGTGACTCCTTAATGAAATTTGTTCTTCAGTTCAAAGAGAAATCATAGCATCTTTTTTGTTTGGTTTTTTTTTTATATTCTAATCTGTATAGTCAATAAATTCCAAGAAGTATTGCAAAAGCATTCCTCTTCACATGCTGGATATTGCACAAAAATTAAACTGAATAAAGACAATGAATTTGTATATATGTTTTTAAAGCTTCTGAAAAGAGTCAGTATGCAGCACACATGACATCTAAAAATACTGAGATACACGTAATATTCAGCTGGTCAACCAATTTTCTCAATTCAGTCATTAGTTTGAAATTGATGGAAATATATGAAAGACGTTATTTAATATATTAGGTACTTTTCTCTCTGTTACCATGTGACAGAATTATACAGACATGTAAAACAGGTAACAGACTTGAAAAGCAGTTTTAGTCTTAAAAGGTGTATACTGTATTTTTTAATAAGCTGGTTCCTTCATCTTTCAGAAACAAGAAACCTGCTCACAGAGATCCATAGCTTTTTGTTCCCTGGCACCAATACAAGAAAGAAACGATTAACATAGTGTTTGGATTTACCGATTCCCACTCCTAGCTTCATATTTTGGCAGCATAACAAATCAACACTTACTTTCCAAAACCAGTTTATATTTCTACTAGTGTGTCAGTTCCTTATTTTCAGTGGTAAGAGAGTTTTCAGCTTCAAGCATCAGACTGAAAAGCTTTCTTTGAAGCTTTCAGGAGAGCTGAAAGCATGTCACCACTTCTTTTTTTTTTTTTTTTTGAGTACCACTGGACAGCAGATCAAACATAACAGCTTGTGGAAGTGTCATTGTGTCATTTATAGTCAATTGCTGTCCCTCCCTCCCCCTTGTTTTTTTCTTTAAAGTGAATGCCAATTCATTAAAGATGACTTGTAACAAAATTTCACTACTCTGAAAATCAGATTCTCATCAACGCTTACATTTGGACATCTTCTATACCTGGCCTTTAAATCAGGTACAGTCATGATTCTTACTGGTTTGGGGGAGTTTTGCTGGCAATTAAGATTTTCTAAGAAGGACTCATCAATAGATTCACACAGGAAATCTAAATAAAAATCTAAATATTGCATCTTTCAGCAAAGTGATATGTAACATGTAAAGTACATAGCTGCTCAGAAGCATAGATACAAGACAGGAGAGGAGCTTTCTCCACAAAGTACTGTGGGCCCTCTGAATTGACCAGAGCCATACGTACCTTCCTAGAGGTAAGAACCTGAGTGTTTTTTATTCAAAATAAAACACTACAAGAAGTAGAGGGAGTTGCCTTTTCATCCCAAAGACAACTAGTGCAAGGCAGCACTGTTTTTCTCTTTTAACCAGTAGTTCAGGAGTTAAAACTTTCAACCATGACAGAAAGAGCATGAGTTCAATCTTCTCTGATCTCCCCAGAGAACTATCTAACTACTTGCCAACTTGGTGTGATTATTTTCAGTCCCCCTCTTCAGAGGCATTCCATTTCCTGTGGAGCAATTATACGTACACTAAGTTGGAGTGATACCAAGTCTCTCTAGCCTCCTGTTTAGGACAAATTCCTTGGAAGAAGGACCTGCATTGCAGTACCCGTTCCAATGGATGTTCCTGCATTTTAAACACTGGACTTCACTCTTTATGGCTATGTCCAATCTTCTACATTATAATGCCACAGTAACCCGTGATCACTTTTTTCTTTCTTTTGCAAGCTAATATTTATTGTTTCAAGAAGCGTTGCTTTGGCTGAAGGAATAAAGGCACCTTCACAGAGCCTGCAAATCAAGTGTCAAGGCACTTTATTGGGAAGCAATACAGTATTACAGAGTGGTTGAGGTTGGAATGACCATCTGGAGGTCATCCTCTCCAGCCCCCTGCTCAAGCACGGTCACCTAGAGCCAGCTGCCCAGGACCTTATCCAGACAGCTTTTGGGTATCTCCAACGATGGAGACTCTACAACCTTCCCAGGCAATCTGTGCTAGTGCTCAGTCACTGTCACAGTAAAAAATTGTTTCAGTTTGTGCCCATTGCTTCTGGTCCTGTCACTGGGCACCAACGAAAAGAGCCTGGTTCCATCATCTTTGCAACCACCCTCCAGATATTTATATACATCGATGACATCCCCACCCCGATATCTTCCTCTTCTCTAGGCTAAACAGTCCCAACTTTATATACACACCTAAGGTTTCAAATCTTGTTACGGAGAAAAGAAAGTTCTCCATACCTGCCTCCTGTACCCTAGAGTGAGTACTTTAGCCTCTGAAATCATTCACTAAAGAAAGGTCATCTTCTGAGGTGAACTTAAAGCACTGCTTAAAAACACTGCCTAGATGACTGAGTAGGTGAAGCAGGCATAAATGGACTTGGGCTCAGCACTGTCAACTCTGAGGCAAATCTTTGGCAAATGTGAATTTCTAGGCGCCATGAGGGTAAAGTGGCATCTGAAAATAGGATTTTCAAGGTGTATATTTCAAGCTCTGTGAGGCCCCTGTACTTATGATCACACTACAATTTTTTAATACTAACCCTCACAGTTTTCCAAAAGTTACTAAGACCGTTACAGAACCAGCTCCTTGAAGAACAGACCTATTCATGGCACACGGTGTGTGTGCATGTGCACGCCAGTCTGCACTGACAACAAAAACTCCATATGCAATCTGGATACTATTACTTTGTAGATGTCATCTCTTATACGCAGGTTAGATGTACAAATTTGCATGGACATAACGAGAAATTACTAAAAAAATTCTAGTCTCCTGTACACCTTTATAAAGCTAGCACATTTCTGTTTGATGTAATAACTGAAATTTCATCCAAATTTTGAAAATTGGGCTTCAAACAGACTATGAACTTGTTAACAGGCTTAAATATACTGAAATAATTTTCAGTATTAGCCTCTAAAGAACCTACAAAGCCTGTTATTTTAGTGATTCACTTGTAGCCACTATGCATAGAGATATAAAACGGTCCAGCAAACAACACTACAGCCAATCTATCTTTTAGCTGTCTAGCTTAGGCATAGTAGTATTTGTTATCCTCAGCCATACCAATGTACACAGATGATAAAAACAAAACTCTAGGAAAAAACGGTACGATATGTCACCGATCAGATAAAGAGCAACACAGGGATTTTGGAAAATATTTTAAATGGCAATGAAAATACACTGAAAATAGTTCAAAGAAGTTGCTTCCTTAGAAACTGGGCTTTTTCTCCCATGTCAATTAAGCTAAGGTTGAGATATATGTAAAATACACTTTTGTAAGAAATTAGTGACAAACCATATTACAAAAATGTTCCAGATGACAAAACCAGCCCCCAAAATACTGCTGCCCTACCACAAATGCATGAATAAACTGAAACGTTCAAACAAAATTTCTGCTTCTCATGTCTTCCATCCATCTAAAGGAAATTGTTTGTATTGGTTTTCCTACCTGCAGTCACTTAAATCTTTTCAAATGACATCACACTGGACAAGATTTTCCATTGTCTGGCACCTTATGCAGGACAAGAGCAAGTTGTTTAATGCTGTGAAAGTCATTTGGCATTGTCATTTTTGCTCTACCATACATTAAAAGATAACTACATTTGATATAAGCAAACAGAATTAGGCTCCCATTGTGTCTAATTTCTTTAGTCTTTTCAAATGGATTCTTTTTTGATGAGGGTACATTCCTAAATTGAGTTCATGTTTCCTTTTTTCCATTCCGACTCA